AACTTCAAACAAGCATCGTATTCCCACACTTATTCACAATCAAAGCGCAACATAAAAGTAAAATCACTCTTTTAAATTAAATGAAAATGATTCATAGCTCATAGATTTTTGGGTAAATCTCGGTTCAACGTTTGTATCATATGTACACGGAGATTTGAGTAAGTCATTGAGAGAGAAAGACAAGCATATGGAGCAATCAATGAGGCTGATTTTCTCTGATATCTTTCCCTTTCTGTCCATCTTGACGCATAGAATAGGTTTGGATGGGATTGGATAAGCGGCCTTGGACACACGTTGGTTGAATATGAGCGTTTACAATGAACCTATGGAAAGGATGCTGGTTTTATGTGGGGTCTAAGGTAAGGGAGAACAGCAAGGGAAATGTGGATGATTTTACAAGATTAACAGAAACAGAAAAACGAATGAGTATGTGAAAAAGTGGATGACGGGCAGTGTACACTGCGGTGGCCCTAAAAACCGCGTTTGCCTCAGTATCTCCAGCCTCGCTCAAATGAATATGCGCCGGCATCCACGTCTACTTCGCGCTTTTTCCATGGCATCGACACACCGTTTTGCTTAACCTGATCGTGAATAACGGTAGATGAACGGGACAAGAATAAAAATCATGAAATATGGAACACAGCAAAACCGTTTCAGTAAGGCAAAAGCACATCACATCAATGGGCCCCATCATTATTCAGGAATAATGCAAATATTTGAAATTGTTACTGCGTAAACTGCATGTGTTGTTTGCGGTGTTGCATCGGTCAATTAGATATAAAAGAGCATATGTTCGAAATGCAAAATGTTTTATAAGCTCAGAACTGCCTGAGGGTAATAATACTCGCACCCGCATATTTGGTAGACTTTTTAACCGTTTATCTTCAGGTTAACTGCTCCAAAATGATGTTCTTAAAAAGGTGTCAGAAAGTGACATCTGAAGGTTAAAAATACCTATTTTCATATAATAAGACGCATGAAAATAGAAACACTGAAATGTTGGAGAAGTGTTTTTTTTGTTTGTTTAGAGGACTAAATATGAAAAGAAAATCAGTTTTAATTACAACATCCAAAAGCTAAACAGTGTTTTTGGAATTAATAATATTATCTTTACATTTATTTTATTACTGTTCAAAATGAAAGATGAATCACTTCCCCGGGAGGGGNCCCTAACGGACATTACGGAGCATGTTTAAAGGGAGAAATGCACGCTACAATGCACTTCAGCATTCATCACTTGAAAATGTTTACGGTCATCAGGGCAGCAATGCACATTTGTCTGATTCATGCAGTTTACCATAACACCGTATCTGTCTACTGGCTGCAGTCCTAAACCAACTCACGATCTGGTTGTTGACAATGCACATTTCCCCATGGATCATGCGGAAATCGATGGGACGCTTGTTTGGAAGCAATGTTAGCTGGAGAAGAGCTAAACCCAGANACTACGAGAGCAAGCCTGACCTTAATGTCTGCAGTAAGAGTAGTTTTGTGTGATGTATTTCGAAAGTAAGAGAGGCAAAGTTCATTTCGTGACCAGAAAATGGCTTTGAAAAAGGTCAGCTTTCCCGACATGTATTCGCTTCTATTACGTCAGGAATACAATCAAAATAGAGTCAGTCCACCGCATAGAAGTATCAGATTCTGTTACATTGTTTTTGTGGAATAACGTACTCGTATCAATATGGCTGAGAGTTGTGTACAGTTCGAAAGGCATGTGATAATTCTGAAAACCATAATATCTATTAGACTAGACACTCCACGACAGAACTGATTGTATGCCAAACGTAATGTCTTGGTAAATATACATTCTATCAGGTTAGTGTAGTCGAAATTCTCTATTCTCGTTATGTTCCAGGTGACGGCGAAGTGCTTGCAAAACAGAGTAAATGAAAAATGCTATTAAATGTGACTAAACCAGTTAAGCACACAAAGAAAGGGAGGGGACATTATTTGTGAGAAGTTGATTTACAGATACAAGTTCATTGCTTGCGTGTTTCGTAATCCATGAAGGGTATGAAGATTTAACCAATAGGTCCAAGTTGCACAGTAGTGCACACTTTTTGTTTCACTCACTGTTATATGTGATGATTCCCATACGCATGAGATAAGAGAAGGAATTTCTGGTTTCAGTTACGAACTTGCACAAATAAAACGCTTTCTTATACAAGTACAATGAAACAATAAACAGTATTTCTGTATAAAGTACATTTTGATGAATGATTGTGTGCCTAGTTAAATTCGCTACCCTTGATTCAGAACATATTATTACCGTGTGTTTACACAATCGGTCGGGGTTCCGTAAGTTGCTTCCTTAGCTCGACCTAATTCCGGTGTTAACATGAGTTGCTGTTAATCGCTGCCGACTTTCAGCTAAATGTCGTCCAAAAGGAATGCACATTACAACACTTTTCGGACGTCCAGCAAGGTACAGTTAGAGACAAGTTTGATAAGGCCTTGTCCCGGTTGTGCTTAAAACAACCTCGCGCTACTTTATTTATTCAGCATGAAGACAAAGATAATAATTTCTCCATTTAGTTAACCGGCAGCAGTTAGATATTGAACTCAGGAAAAAATACCAAATTTNCGAAAAATCCTTGGGTATTTCAGTTATTTTTCATGCCTTAATGTAGTGTTTTCACTTAAGGAGGTAGGAAGAAGCAGGCATCTTTGTTTGTGAATTGCAAAAGTTGTGCATGCATGTAACAAATTTTAATTATAGGAGACACAACAGAATGACTTCAAAGTGTGAGACCAAATGGCCCAACCTTTGAGTTGGCTACGTGTTACACTACCAATAACAGATTTATGCATGCACAAAGTGTGATTATTATAAGGCTTAGTAANGCTTAGTAAATATATAGAGCTGATCGTTTGATTGAGTTTTGATAAACTGATATCGCTTCTTTTTAAATGCCGATGAACAATGGCTCCACCCTAATATGTACACACACAAAGGTTTCAAATTACTAACTGGTTATTTTTAAATGCTACGATTTTTTTTACATCCGAAAATGTTTTGCGCATCACGCTGTGAGATTTACTTATATGGGTTAGTAGACAAAATGGAAACGTGTAATCAAGCATTCACAACAGCATCAACAGCTGCAATGCTTAACAAACATGTCTGTGATTGGTTTTCATCTCAATCCAGCTTCATTCCACACGCAATTATGGTTGCACTGATTCTCAAACTAAGCGGACGTTTGGCGGGTGAAATGAAATATTTGGGGCGGGGCAACCTATGTCGGAATATGTCAGCTTCAACAACTGTTGTGCCGAAGACGTCTTCGATATCGAAATTCGACATTCTGAAGAAAAGCTTTTCATCTGTCTATTAACTGTCTAGTAATGTTCATGGACAAAGTGAATTCAATCACAGGATGGAAAATGTCGGTATTATCAATTTAAAACATTCAGTGTCTACTAATCTAAACTGTTTTAAAACTATCAATTTCGAAAAGTAGTGTTTTCATTGATTTATGTAGAACACATGCGCTAGTTTTCATAACTAAACATCCCTTACTTTCTCTTTGATACACAGTCTGCGGCAGATAGCAGAATTCAATTTCGCAATTTGTTCCGGTCATCGAACAAAGATCATTCCATGCTCGAAAATTAGATGATTTTGCCGGTAAGAAAACCAAATTGGGTATAATGTGGTAAAACATTCGCTAACCAGTCCAGCGATCTTATGCTTTTCCGGGTAAACGTCTTACGAAATACGCAGTAAAGCTAACACTTGTGCCCTCGTAATTATGTGTTGTTAAAAAAGATATTAGGGCGGATATGTGGATAGTAATACACACACGGTCAAAATATCCCTTTGATTGAAATATTCTCCGTGAAAGAGCTGATTAGTAGAAAAATCAGTGGCACAAGTTCTAGTTCGCAAGATGGAATATTTTATTCAATAATTGATGATGGAAAACGTTGTTTTTTTCCAAAATGGACGGAGCTTTGTGATGATCACTGGTCTGGTTCTGTGCACGCGAGAGTTAATTTGCAATGGAAACACCGGAAGTTTCCATTTAACAATGCAAACGAGTGAGCGGGGCATAAAGCAACGAATTAACCATAAAAAGGGTGATCTATTTGTGCTGGGAAAATGTCCCTCGGTACTGATTCAGATTGACAGGTCTCGTTTAATATGCCGTAGTGTAATACACGAATCGGAAAATAAAAATAACACCAACGAAGTGTATCGGGTCATTCCTGGCACCAGCATGAATAGGCTGCAGATCAAATAATGCTTGAACATGCATTTCTAGGTACGCATAACACCGTATTACTACTGTATTACTAACAATATTGTTACTAACTAAAACAATGAGACCCCGTGCAAAGCAATTAATAATTTAAAGAAAAGAACACGTACCCTTGAGGGACTGCAATCCTTCGAAGGTATTCCATCAGATCTGTTTAATCGTTCAACAGATTGTCCATTCGAAAACTTACGAACAAACGAAGCGTTATTCTTTCGATCGCTACGAAATTGCAGTGGCTCATCTGTTCGGTCACGATCAGCTTCAGGTTCTTCAAAAGAAGACAAACTTGAGCCGTTCAAATGCATCAAACTCAGACAACGGTTTCCGGACGTGTTCTCTTCGTAGGGAACAGCTGACGAAATTACGGCTGGCCTGGGACTTGGGGTTGTGGCCTTTCTTCGAAATGGTCTTCGAATCATTGTGGACAGATTTTTTGCACCGTTTACTGGCGGGCTTAAGCGCCCATATATTTCGGGGGTGGCGCCATCCGCTCTCCGTTGATCCGATTTGGAATCAGGTTTCGGCTTACCAGTCCAATCGGCCAGGGACAACTGGCTTAATGCACGGCCGATCCAAGAGAACTTAGAGGCTACACCGTTTGAACTAGTAATACTGGTCCCGTTGCTACCCCTATGGTAATCAGATGTGAGCGGTCCCAGTGAAGATTCACGATACTCCTCACGTGGTTCAATGGGTTCAACTTGCTGTGTTGTCGAATAACGTCTTGTCATTGGATAACGGATATGTGTTGGTGTCTCACGNGTCTCACGCAGTCGAACTTCTTCTTTTGGCAGACTAGAATCATTCCAAGATGGTGGTGGCGATTGGGGAAGACGATCATCCATTACAAAGCGATGGTCAGATCGCAAGCGATGCACCGTGGGCGTCTAATTAGGTAGGGAGGATTGATGGAAAATATTTATTGGAGATCAAGTACAGAGCTACCGGAAATAGATGCAGTTTCGTCTACAAATGATATGTTTAAGATTTGACGTAAGAAAATGGTTTGAGGTCTAAATACCGGCTTGGACTTAAATCACCTCCCTCTCAAGGGCAGCTCTGTTGGAAGAACAGAAAGGCACGATGCACGATTTCGATCNNCTAATTGTGACTTTGATTGATGCAGTCCTTGATCAGCGCTCGATGTTACAGAATTATCGCATAAAACGTATGGCTATGGAACCTCGAGATCACGACTCCAGCGAACTTTTAGCGACAACGTGATATTTCTGACTACCACGCATAAGGACAATTGTTGTGTTGGAGGAGGTCCATTGTTCGCTGTTTCTTTAATTTGACAGTGCTTGTTACTTTAGCCTCCTCCACTGGTCGCGTATTAGGGCAGTCAAAAGATAACCAAATTGCCGCATCGAAATTCTAGGTCAATAGTTGTGACAACTAAATCTGACTAAACCGGTTGATGACTTTTGCTGCAAAATACCACTGCATTCCGTTTTATGTTGCTATTCGATGGAGATCTTCCTAACTTGAAGAGATACTGGGTGACACTGATTTTATTCGTAGTGACATATCTGTGTGGTGAGTAGGCATTCTCACTAAATCCTGTGAAGATTTCTTTTCGACTTTGCGGTGAAACACGATTCTTACGTCATCAAACTTAAAAAATGCTTTGCTATGGTGAGTGGACAGATTCCATTCCATTGAGAAATCTCTATTTGCAAAGGATCACAATTCTTCAAATTAAATCATTCTCTTTATGTATTTTGATTTGTGATAAATGCAATGAGTGAACACTGACCATGATAAAAAAATACTAATTTGGTTGCAGAGGTTGAATTAAAATAATTGTACTCGTAAGCATGTCATGCAAATATTTCCTTTGAAGAATCGTACAGAAGTTGTGGCACTTCACTGGGGCTACTTCAATTGCTGGCGCGAAATAAAGGAGATGACTACATCCGAATGAGAGAAATCTACGTTGCTAGAGAGCGAATTGAGAAAGTGTCTCCGTGTTGAGAATAAAATCTCCCAGGTCTATGACTGTGGAGCATACTGAAACTTGAAGCACTGAAATTGGTTTTGAAAACATTTATATTAGTTTTCTTAACCTTATTCTGATCAGTTAACGTTGTCAGTGCTTACTAGCGCAGTTGCGGTAGGTATATAATATGCCACCCTAAAAACGATCACCTTTAGGGCGAGTAATATGTACCAAAAAGCTCTCTGTGTTATATTGCAGCTAGGTTTGGACAGATCAAACCTTATACAAGCTTGTTTGTAAATGCATTTGGCTACCAAACCTTCTGAGGCTCTTCGAAATTGTGGTAGATAAATGCAAGAAATCGTTCAATAATTATTCCGAAAATATCTTACGGAAATTTACTAAACCAGATGGTTTGTATGTGACGCAAAATCGACTGGCGTAATCGGTCCGTGTCCCACACGACAGGTGAAGTTATGATATGACCATTCATTTGACTACTTGTTTACAATTTTATCAGTGGAGAATTACGTTGCTGATCAATCATATCAAGGTAAAACAACTCACTCTCGGTTCGTTCAGCTGCGTTACCGATCGATCAGTGGTGTCACCGATCGGATCGGGATAGGCAGATCGGGTAAGGAGACATTGGGAGCTGTTCATTTTTGTGTTATTCAAACGTTTCAGACGAAGCACTGGGTTCTGTTTGTTCCGTGCAATGTCGTATCGTGATGGACTTTGCAGCGCAGTGGTGCTCACAGCCCAACGATCGGATCGGTATGCTTTCTGCTGTCGGGATTGTTTTAAATCTCCAATGATAGTGGTCGCCTTCTCAAGCTCCTGTTTTATTCTATCATTATCACACTTGAGTCCTTCCTATGGGGAAAAGGATAAAAACTGGATCATTATATTAAACATTTCATGTTTCAGAAATAAACGTATGTTGCAAGTGGAATGGGATGAGATCAGATGTTTCTGAAGGCTTGTAAAGAAGAATTGGGCCATATAGTGCCGAGGCATAGTGAAATACAAAGGTAAGCTCCTTTTCCCCGGTGGGATCCCGCTGTTTGATCCTCAGTTAGTTTGGTGGAGTTTCAATACACATGAGACCCAAAATGGTCGAACCACGGCACGGTGATTTACATTCGGCTTATTCTGCTCTCTTTGTTTAACAAAAGTAACCTTATTGTTTATAGTTGTCACGGAATTTCATGTTTTTAATGTTTTGCTCATTTCATTGCTCATCGAACCTAATGTAGACTATGAAATATATACCGATAGACAAAGTTGAAATGCTGTTTAGATTACACACAGGAACTAATACACACTCTCCGAAATGTTCTCGGGATTTTTACAGTTCACTTCGGTCATATTTTGCTTGTTACATAAGCAAACACATATGACCTCTGATTCTGAATTATTCCAATGTGATGTCTACATAAGAATTCACGCATGCATCGTTTCATACCGTGACACGGAAAACAGCTTTGACCCTCGATGAAATGATGCCGTTTTCCAAAAACGAATGAACTGATTCATGTACGTAGCTACCGATTCAATCAGCCGCAGCGTCGTTTTAATAGATAAAATACTTTGCTAACCAGTAGTTGTTAAAGCGATTAGTAAAGCCATAACTTCCGAGCGCAGTTTGCGATGTACAAAGCAAGATGTTCAACTTGATGTCACCAAAGCACTCAACAGCTTCGAGAAAGCAGAAACAGTTGTGTGCTTGCACTACAGTTCATGTTCATCATCAGACGACTCTTATTCTGTTGTATATACACAGTGTTGAGTCAATTAAAGGAAACGTGATAACCGCGTATGCAGACACATCCAAGTGAACAATAGAAGATACAAAAGTAGTTTTACTTGGAGTAGGTAGTGAGAACTTCAGATAAGCTGCTGACTGTAGTAGGATTTGCAATTCGGAATTCGTTGCATAAATTTGCTAATTTTGTTGTTGTGATTTGTGCATGAATTATATGTGATCAGATCGAAATGGCGCCACTGAAAAGCAGTCACAGCAGTGGTCGTGAGAAAAAGTGTGGAATAGAGTGCAGATAAGGAAATAGTTTCACATCACTTATTTACTGAAACGCGTCATGCACTAGAGAGCGAGAAGAGAGAGAGAGGGCGAACAACTAATGGTTGTCCCAAACCGGTACAAATCCACCCATGCTCAATATAAATTGATATGTCAACATATCTGTCTGAAGACGGTTCCAAAGCCAAATTACATTGATTCATTTTAAAAAACCGGTGGATGAAGTTTGGCAACAACTGTATGATTAGTTTCAATGCCTGAGAAAGCCATGTAAATTATTGAATTCGACGATGACACTTTATTAATCACGAGCGTGACTGAGTAAATGAAATGACTAATTTGTCAAATGATTTATTGGGTTATTTCTATTGGTACCGATCTCTGTGCTGCTGCGAGCCGTCTAATAGTAACCAAGCTAATGGATTTAAATGTTCCACAGAAATCAAATCAAAGATACATTGAATGCAACATTACGGTGCGAGGAGAAAAAGAAAGGTATGCGCTCCGAATTTTTCTTTGCATAGTTAAGCACTGGGCAACCGTAACCGGACAAAACCGACTGTGCATGGGTGGATTGTGTTCAAGATGTTTGTTGATGTCGTATTGGTCTGAAGGTTGTGTACGAGTACGGCTAACACCGTTTATATCTGTGCACAGACAAGCAGGGTTTGAATTCGGTTGAACCTGAACCACAAAACTAGGGTGTTGATGCTATGCGGAGAAACGTTTTTGAATGTTGAATATGCTTTATTGTCTGCTCACCCAAGGGAAAGACTGTGGTACTACTGGAATACTTTTACCATTCAGAAACCTTGTTTTTCTCTCTCCCTAAACAACTTAACTATTATTGATTAGATTGCATGTGTTAGTGTAGAACAGCCTTATGGAAACGAACTTTGCCCTAGATGTCGTTCTATGCCTACAGCTCCCAAATCATCATTTTATTTTTGAAGAAATTCAAGGCATTATAAGAAATAGTTACTCACAGCTTTCCGATTGATTTCATCCAGCAACTGATTCACTGAATCAATGGGATCCTTTGCTCTTCGTCTCAGACTGGCATCTCTCGATCGTGGCATGCGTGGATAGTGCAATTCGGTACCCGGTTTTACTCGATCCAAACGGGTACAACTTTTGGCCCAACGATCTCTTTTTACCATTCCATTACCTTTTACAACCGGATCAGACAACTGCACTTGTGAACCTGAAAAGAGTTCGTTGTTATGTGTAGTGACATCTTCAACATTCCGAAAATTGCTTTTCGGCTGTACCATTGGAGATTGTTGTATCTGTTGTATTCCGTTTTGTTGAAACTGTTGCATAAGCCACTGCATTAGGCTGTCATCGCTGTTTGTCGGGGGTTCGGGTGATTTTACGGGTACACGTTGGTTGGGTAACAAAACCGATCGAGTGGTTGATAATCCATCAATATCGGAATCGGACAAGTTCTCCTCATCATCGTGTCCGTTGATGAGTTCCACCTGGCGACGAGCGATTGTTTCCTTTGATGGTGGCAAACGATCTTTTATTCCGTTCATATAAGGCACCGGTTGAGACGTTTTTATAGAAGCCATCGTTTCTACGAAAACAACAGGTGTACAGAGAGGAGAATAGATTTAATTAAAACTTGTATAACTGAATAGCATCTTTTAACTATTTTTATCTAAAATCCTTTAAACAGTGAGTTTCATTAAGTTGATCCCTGTTGTTAAGCGGTTCTTATATAGAAATGACAACTTGAACATCCAAGAAAATCCCTAACGCTATGCTGATTTCCGTTTTTCTCCTAAATGAGCATACGTAGCACATTTCTAAACCCCTAAGAGTGTTGTTCAATTATGAACAGTGATTTTGTTCTCACATAGAGATCAGCGCGGCTTCAACAGATCACTGAATATCCCGAGGAAATGTGAACCCAAAAATCACTGCAGTTGGAGCAGAGATTTTCTCGCGTGAGAAACAGCAAACAAAGTCAATAAATTTGTAAATATATAGCAGTTTGCTTTAAAGTTTCCTGAACGTTTCTATTAGTATTTGGGTGATGGTGATTAATTATTGTGTTCAAAAACAATAAATGATAAAACCAAAACTTGATTAAAAACATGACCAAAATGAAATTACTTGTCTTTCAAAGGACTCAATTTATGTGACATTGTACTCCTGAAACATAAATAATTCTCGTTGTCCCATCCGGAACGTGTAACTGCTCTAAAACGGTAAGCTCGTACAAATGCACAGCTCATTACAAGCTCATTCTTCTATCACGTGTTTTTCAAATGAAACATGTATCCGCAAGTGTCAAATAAATGTTGTTATTTCAGACCACAGAAGCTGCTATTCCGAAAACATCAGCCTCTTATTAAGTGATTTATACAGTTAATATTTCAGTTAGAAAATTTAGAGCTGTGCCTCTGCTGTAAACTATGAACTGATTTTCTTCATCCTGTAACATGAATTGTTCGCTACACAATTCTCAAATTAGACAGATAATAAGAATTCATCGGACTTGAGGAGTACTGGGAGAGAGAGGTGAAGAACTGGTTTTCGATACAACGCGGTGAGCAAGCTCGTTTTCATTTATACTTAATCATGCCAGAGTTGCACTGTTAGGGCTGTAACTTGTTATTTCATTTCTTCGGTGATTAATCAGATACAATGTTTTGTATTGCAAAAGAGAATTTTAATCCAGCTCCATTGTTCTCTATAAGTTCTACGGGGATACTCAAATGTATGGTTTATCTGTTTCTATTTATTCTAAGAGATTGGATACATTTAGCAAACTGATCTAAAATAAAATGTAAAACATTAATACAGTATTGACTTGACGATCTGATGGTTTGCCAAGCTACTGAAGTGATGCTGATTTTCTCTCATTACGACTGAAAATCACCCCAATACTATTTTTCACATCAAGGTATTGCTTATAAAACAATCATCATGTGTTTACTTACTGTGATGTTATGATTTCATACTCTGATACTTTGATCGATTCAGCACAATCTTCAATTAAGGAGGAGGAGGGGGACGAATGTTGATCTTTGAGCTATTTCACTTTAATTTTCATACAAATCACATGGTCTACTACAGATTTCGAGAAGAAACGAATTCGTGTTTTTGTTCAGTTCAACATCAGGTCATAATTTATTCTAATTTAACTCAAAATTATCTATCTTCCCCAATTTGTATTCAGTTTAAAATGCCCGAACTTTAAACATAACAGCAGCAATCAAACACTATTAAAAATATACTTGACTACATGACGCAGGTTTATCAAAAATGGGTTCCAACAGCGGGAAACTATGACAAATAAATTTCCTATGCTCACGTAATTGCACCTAGTTGCACGATAGAACGAATATAATTCCGTTATACCTGATTGTTTCATTGATTTATTTTATATTCACCTTCAAGTCCGTCCTCAGCATTCTAGCGTTGAGAAATATGAAACTAAATTTTAATTTCTTAGTAAATCATCCTCCAGACGTATTGAAATTTACTACGTTAGGTTGTTACTAAAACGGCGGCAGTAATTCGTCGACAATAAGGTAGTTACAAGCACGAATTAGTGACTGTTTTGATTTGGGAGCAACACGTCCTGCAACAGTAAACAGATGAAAATCAGCTTTCATTGTTTTATTGATAACTAAATAAATGTTTTGTATATTGGTTAAATGTTATAAGGAAAAATGTACTATTGTTATAATTGATTTCCTCATTGTAGTTATCAGAACTCGTTCAAGTTCAAAAGCTCTCTCAAATGGCTATATGTTATTAGGATTAACAATGACGGCTGGGCGAGACATCCATACTATGTAACTGTATATGAAAAATGTATAATTCATGAATTACAAGGAGAACTTGTAGAAACGTAAAATCCCGCATAATTGGGATGCATAGGTGTTTGTGATTCCTATCGGTGTCCGTTAATCTAGTACTTGCCATATTTTTATCGCGGTGCATAGAACCCAATTGCTACAACATTTACTAGATATGCCGGTTAATAACATGTTTTCTTCTCATCCGTGTTTAGAATTTACAGAGCCATCTGATTGAATATACTACGGAGCTAATTAACAGCTTTAAACGAACGAAAATGTAATGAGTCACGGTATTTTCTTAGTGTATTTATTAAAATTAACAAAAGCGATCACTATTGATGCAAACATGTGTAGATCAACTTCAAACCCGTTACAGGTTTCACTGTTTACGAATGGTTTCATCTCACTGTGTCCAAAATACATGATGGAAAATTATAATGCTGTTCATGATCATGCCCCTTTGAGTTAATCCTTAACAGACAATTGAACCTTTTCTAAAAGAAAGTCAAAATATTTATACTTTCATCCGGAAAAGTTTATCATTTTTCGCTATTGAATTGAGAGGTGTGATAAAGAGATGTGGCGTTCGAAGTTGTTTTTGAACTAAACTCGCACATTGGCACATTTTTAAGAGTAACAAAACAGAATAAGACAGAGTAGAACCACGTTTTGTGTAATTTTGGAAAGAATTGTGAAACTTGAACGTCTGTGCTGGAAGACTCCAAGATTCTTAGATATATGGAAGCAAGAAAACACCATGGTTCAAAGTTAACTAAGATAAACAATTTTTTTTCTACTGCTAGAAACAATATTTGGAAAGATTTTTTGCAATACCAAAATATACTCGACCTTTGCACTTTTATATGATTTGCTATGTTTTGCTCACCAACGAGTAATAAAATGGAACTTTGATGTAAGATGCATGTTTTTTTTACTAAATGTGAAATGCTTCAAATTCTGAGGATCAAAATCAATATGATAGTTAAATTGTAAGCCCATACCAAAATTCATTCAATCGATTATTATTCTTTCTGAGAAACACGGTCGCTATTTCTTTGCGTACCAAACTATATGAATACTTACAGCGGTCGGACAGAATCTGTTCATATAGGTTGGTACGTTGCTCTAAATTTGGTGAATGCATGATTCCAACTGAACATTGTTTGACGCAAACTGTAGATAAGTGGTCTAGGGTTGACGCATTGCTATTTTTTGAATTAATGTGGAAAGTAATGCAACAATGATAAGAAATTGTGGATAACTGTTTATTTCAGGATTGTCAACGAAATTGAAAATAATTATCATATTATGAATTAAGTTACAAGGTCGCTATTCCAGGTAGTCTATTTCAACTGTGTTTAGGCAAACAAATTTAAGTTTTCTTATCAAATAAGCCATAGCTTTAGAGTTGAGAGATAATCACCCGATTGTGAACCAACTGCAATGGGAATTTGCGATTATATCCCATAGACTACGTTTAAATACTTTTAAAACTCTCGGTCCTTCAGCCATCCGCTAGAATGCAGCTAACATAAATATACACAGTGAGGCGCCCAAAAGGCGATAGCATATTGCAGCAAGATATAGTCCATTCACATCACAGAATACACCCATTGTCATAATCTGAACTCAGGTTGTAGGCAAACATATGTTTTCGGTGAGTTCCTTATCAAGCCAGTACAATCACATTTATTTGAGAACATAACGGGAAAGTGTTGCGTTGGGGTCAAACAGTCTACGTCAAATAATCACAGGAAAGGGGTGGGGTAGGGACACATTTGTCACTAGTTCTCATGTTCAGATAAGAACGGGTTACGTAAGCGTTGATAATTGATTTCGGTCATCCCAAAGCTCATGCGTGAGGTTGTCTGCTTTGGGTCAGGGAATTTCAGTGACTGAACAAGTGTTTTTTGAGCACACAATTCTAGCTTCAACAAGCGGATGGTAATTGCCTCGGCTGTTGCTAGCGTTTTAATTCAACCAGCCTTGGATTTGTGTTGTGGGACGCGATAAATGATGGTAAAAGCCGAATTAGTATCCACCCTATGCCCAGTTTCGACCAAGTGTGCAACAGTGAAATTGAAAATAACTCCCATTCCTCCGTGTTTAAGCCAAGCGGGTTGATGTTCCTCGATGCGCTTAGATAGCTGACATGTCGTACGACCCACATAAGTGGCACCACAGATGAACTGGAATTGGTAGATGAGCATTGACGAGGTCAACATAGGCAACTTATCCCTGTTCGACATCGGATGACGGGTGATGTTGAGAACACGCATCTGAGTTTGGCATCAATGAACTTTGTTTTGACTGCAGCACTCAGGACTCTGTTAACCCTTTCAGCTGCTGGATCTCCTTTGAACGGACGTTTGATGATCAAAGTCTTTCTCAGCTCTATCTGTAACAACGTGTTTTATTATTTCAGATCAATTGCGATTGATGATCATTTCCTGGTAGCCGTTTTCTGACAGCGTCATTCGCACAACTGCTAATTCTTTTTCTAAAAAGTCTTCTGAGCAGATGTATCTTGTTCTGAATAGAAAATAACGCACTAAGTTACGTTTGTGAGCTATGAAAGTTTGTGTACTGACCGCTCCATCTGGCTTTTCAATGCACCTTCCGCTGAATAGAGCCATCTAAACGTTTCGGTAAATTAACATCTAGGAATGGTAATTCATTATTTTCTTCTTTCTCAACTGTAAACCGTATCCCTCAGTGAGCCGTATTGAAGTTCAACAACTCATCGTTGAGGTCCA